TATAAAATTCCCAATAGTTTTCAAATGGGCAGGGAAAGAAATAAAACCTGGGTAAGGAAAAACATGAATTTTACGCAAAATCGATTTTGGTTTTTTGTGTAACTCTAAAACAAATGACCGTAGATACATACAATTTTCACTGAATGTTTATAATAGCATATACTATAAACGATAAAATATTTTGACTTGTTTTCGGACATTTTCAGTTTAAAATTTTTTTAGTTTTTTTTTTCTATGAATGTCAAAAAAATTTATTTGTTGGGTAAATAGTTTGAAAATGTAATACAAGGCTCCTAATATATTGTTACAACGATATTTGAAAAATATTAAAAATCCAGTCACAATTTTTTTTTTATAATCATTTAAAGTTTAAATCTTGATAAAATACGTAAAAATATGACGAAAATGAGCAAATTATTTTGAGTTAAAAATTCATAAAAATTTTCTAATCTAAGATTTGAAAATGCAATACAAGATGCCTCATAATTTTGCTACCTTTATCAAAAAAAAAAATTCTACAAGACAGTCAAATTAAATTTTTATGAGCTTTTGAAGTTCATATTTTTACAAGATTGGATATTCACTCGATTTCTCATGTAACGATTTTCTAATTTTGTTGTAATTAAAAAACGAATGACTGTAGATACTTGAAAATGTACACCATCATATGTTTATTTTATCAATTCTTATACTTTATAAATTGTTCAAAATATTTTCACTCTTTTTGAGCTATTAACGGGCAATTTCAAAATTCAATGTTTTAGTTTTTTTTTCTATAAATATCAATTAAATTTTATTTATTTTGTAAAAACGCGTGAAAATTGAATGCAAGGCAGAAGGCTCCTGATATATTGTTACAATAGCAGTTGAAAAATATTAGAAATAAATAGGCACAATTTTTTTTTATAAGCATTTAAAGTTCAAAATTCAAATATTAATAAAATTGAAAATATGTAAAATTTATCCCAAACAACGAAATCTGCTCTGCGGTTTCGGAGATCTATCTCACTAAATGAAAATGAAATGATTTTTTGTGGGGCTTTTCACACCGACATTTTTATGGATTCTATTTTTAAATACTATTACCTATACACTACACACAAATTATATTATATATTATGGCGTAAGAAAAAATATTTTTGAAAGTCAAAGACATTATATTAAACACGTGACCAGTGGCGCCCAACCCTATTACTAAATGTAGCAGTCGCTACACCTTGAAAATAAGGGGTGGGTGGATATATATAATAACATAAAATAATAAATTTGAAATATGTTCATAATTAATCATAGATTATATTGGTTGATACCTTAATATTTACTAATATTATCAATACAAATATGATAAAATGTATAAAATAATATAATTTTGAGTTTGTTAGGGGTAGGTGGGTGGGTAAAATGTTTTCTTGCTACACCTAATCGAATTTTAATTTTGAAGCTGGTAAGATAATAACCGATAAACTCAAACCAGTGAAGCCAACATTATTAGAAGTGTGGTATAGAAAATGAGTCGTTTACTTTAAAAAAAAAAAAATATAATAAATAATTAAAAAAAAAAATAATTAAGAGTCAAGACTCAAGACTCATGAGCCACTATTTACAACATTCATGTTATTCTACTTTTACTTTCATCGTATAAACATTAGTATTTAATTATTATTATCATAGGTATATACAACAACTAGATAGCCCGATAGCCGTCAATCGTCATTATACTACAAATGTGACCAATATTGAATTCGGCCGCCATTTACAAAGCAGGCAATAGGTATAGTACTGTTCTATGGTATAATGACGGTAACTAGTTGCGGTATATATATCTCGATGATTGCAGTATTTATTTATATCACGGACTAAGATATACAGGACTGGACACGAGATGAATATTGTGGTTACGAAATGTTTTACAACAGGCGGAGTTCGGGGGGATATTTTCCTTTTAGCATTACTAGCGCCGTCTTAGTGGATACTTATGGAACTAGAAATTTGTATGATGTGTTCTAGTTCCATAAGTATCCACTAGGACGGCGCTACTAATGCTAAAAGGAAAATATCCCCCCGAACACTGCCTGTTGTAAAACATTTCGTAGTCAACCCCCCCACACCCTCCAACCATGTCGTGTCCAGTCCTGTATATCTTAGTCCGTGATTTATATTTTATTATCAGTAGTTAATAAAGTCCACGACCACGGACTAAGGATATCTTAGTCCGTGTCCACGACTAATGATAATATCTATTATCTTTCAGTTTTCACCGTGTCGTGGTCTTACATTATTGAATTCATTAAGTAATCATTGCTCACACGTTTCTGACGTTTCTGTTGTGTTTGAAAAATAGTTAATTCATCTAACTTTACTGTAAACTTTTCTTTTCTTTGTACAATTAGAATCTTAAGTTCTAACAAAATGTATACAAATCAGTACACTCCTCAGTATTCACAATATAATCAACAATATCAGCAATATCCATCCAATTACTATCAAATGTACAATAATTATAACCAACCACCTGCTTATAACGTTCCTCCACCGACGCAAACAGCTACGACGTTTATAAGTCCAAATGTACCCGCCGTCCAACAGCCTCAAGTATCAACTCCCGGACAAAATGTTACAAGCTTGTGGATGGGAAGCGTATGTAAAATAATTTATAATTTGTATTTGTTAACAATGAAGTATTATTATTCTAGCTGGAACCTTATATGACAGAGAGCTTCATCACAGGTGCATTTCAAAAGATGGGGGAGTATCCGAAGAATGTCAAGTTGATGCGTAATAAAAATACTGGCGAAACTGCTGGTTATGCATTTGTTGACTTCTATGATCCAGTATCTATTATGCATAAACTCAATGGAAAATATATACCTGGTACTAATCCAGTAAGTCATTTTAGTTTTTAATTTTCCTATTCATATTTACACTGGGTCACTAAACCAAAAACAACAGTTATTTTATTATCTATTGACAACCAGTAAATTTAAAAATTGTATTTGTTAAAATCAAAAGAAACATGGACCACGGACTTACATGTAATTCATTAATGTATAATATAATACCTATTTATTCATCTATACAGATGACAGTTTATGAAATAAAATGTATAAATATAATAGGTACATAATCATCATACTATATTTTACTAATTCCATAAATCATAATATACATTATACAGGCTACTAAAAAAAAAAATGATTCCCACAGTATAAGTAGCAAGCCGCAGCTTCTAGGATAATGATTCTCCTGTTTTGTTATGATAAATAATAATTTTTCTAAAATAGTGCTAGTTTGTCTGTCCAACCAATAATAACGTAATTATTTTGCATAACAAATGTTTGCTGTACACATAATGCTATTCACTTTAAGTCTTTTAATTATAATACTAAATATGGCTATAGCACAAGCTTTATATCAATAAGCAAAGTAATGGTATATTTAAAAATAACATTCATTGATAAAATAACATAATAAAAAATTCAAACAAGTTATTTTATAAAAAAAATTATTGCCAGTATATTTTACTAATTTATAATTTATAATTATAAGTTATTATGTATGTTATATTGTTCTCTTATTATAAATTATACATTACATTTTTGTATAATGTTTATTCGCGATTGAAAGCGGAACAGGCGCTACCTTGTGGAAGTCATCAGAACTATTTTAACGGGGAAGATGTGTATAGTACAGTACTACAGGTGACAGGTCTACAGTACCACACACGAAATACAAATTAATAAATAATTTATTTATTGTAATTTATTGTAATATTGTATGAATATTATATTATTAGTTGTATGATGTATGATCATAATTATTAACTTAATAGTAGTCCAAAAATACTAATTAATAATACCCATAGGTAGGAAATTAATACAATTAATTACATTTATTTTGTTGTAATTAAAAAAAGAAACAATTAACTGTATATACATGAAAATTTAACTGCATGTTTGTATTTTCATTTTCTATTCACCATATTTTTTTATTTTTTAAACTGTTTTATTAAGAGTTGTACAAAGGAAGTGCGCATCTCACAATTAAATTATGAAGTACACAAATCGCCTGAATTATTTTTGTAGATTTTTCAGGTCTGATTAGCATTTTATTTTTTAATACGTTAAACCTTTTTACCATAATTCCAAATGCACATTCGACTATTCTTCTCGCACGGGATTGTCAATAGTTTGTTGCATATACCATAAACGTTTTTTGTTTGTTAAATTTCTATGAGAGAAATGTCTCATAAAATTAGGTAAAAGTTTGCAAGCCTCATAGCCAACAAATACAAAAGGGAAATCTTCATTAATGTTTTGATCAATTGTTTTTGGGTGATGGCAAATCTAATTTATTTGGAATTAATTGTTTTCCAATTAAGGATTCTTTGAAAATCCCACTATCACTAGACCGACCATAATCTCCAACATCTATTACAATAAACTTAGCGTGAGCATCAATTACTGCTTGCAGTAGAAACTAGATAGTAGACTAAGTAGAAACTAGAAAGTAGTAAGTAGACTGTAGAGTGTAGACAGCACGGGCCTCGGCCGCCAGGCGACCATGTTCCCCGTTAGCCTTATCATTAGTATGGACTAGTGCGCTACCTATATTTCCTTTCAATCGCGAATAAGATGAGTTAAATATAAGTTGTTGTTATTAATACAATTTTAAATAGTAAACATAACTTTTTATTAAACAGTTAATAGAAAATTTTATTATTTTTCTTTAATAAAGCTTAGGTATATATTTAAGGATTTATTACATAAATAATTTTGTATAATTATTTGCAGCCTGTAAGATTTAAACTCAATCACGCTGGAAATCCTGGAAAAATTACTACGAGTGATAAAGATTTTTCTGTATGGTTGGGTGAACTTAGCTCTGATGTAGACGACTATCAACTATATAAAACATTTGCATGCCGCTATCAATCTATACGTACAGCTAAAGGTAATACTTAACAATTTAAAATAATATGTTCATTATCATTAAAAATAATATTTATAAATACCAGGTTTACTATAATAGCATATTAATATATAGTTATAACTTTTCAGTGGTCTTAGACAGTGCCGGTTACAGTAAAGGATATGGATTTATTCGTTTTAGCAGTGAAGAAGAACAAAAACACTGTCTTAACAATATGAATGGTTTTCCGGGTCTTGGTTCCAAACCTATTAAGGTTAGCAGTGTCATACCAAAATCAGAACGGCATATTGTTGTGTAAGATAATTTAATTGTTTTGTTATTTTTTAATTAATTCCCAGTATTATTATTGAATACTAAAATTACAAATAACTGTCTCAATTTATTATTATTTAATGTGAACCCATAAAATTGCAAAATTAATCTATTGACTTTTTTTTTCTTTTAGAAAAATTAGAATAATTAATAGAATAATTACAATATTATTTCGTACAATTGAAGACCAGGCTTTAAACCAAAAAAAAACCTACAAAAAGTAGAAAAATCCACAAACATTTATTAAAAAGTTACCTTTCAACCAAGAAGTACCGAAAATCTATAGTATTAAAAAAAATTGACCTATAGTAGGTATCTATAAATTATAATAAATTCCAAATTAATCATATCACAATATCCATTAGTTACTTATAAAGTGTTATACATCAACAACAAACCCTGATACTATCATAGATATATAATAGTGTGCTTTAGAGGTTTCAAGTACCCATGAATAATATTATGCAATCACAACTAAATAACTAAAATAATTTTTATTATGTAATTTTGTCCAAATTTGAACTTAAAATGACTATAAAAATAAACTGTGCTTATGTATTTTTTAGGTTTTTTTGGTAACAGAATTAACTACTTTTGTTAATCTCATTTTAAATTTTCAATCCTTAGATATAAAAGTTGAATATTTTATACATTTTTACCTACAAAATAATTATTCAATTTTAAATTTGATAAATTTTGTCAAAATTCGATCTTTAAATGATTATAAAAAAAAATTGTGCCTATGTATTTTTAATATTTTTCAATAGCTATAATTGTAACAATATTTCATGAGCCTTGTATTAAATTTTTACACTTTTTGGCCCAACAGATAAAACTTTATTGATATTTATAGAAAAAAAATTGTAAACTGAAAATGCCCGTAATCAGCTATAAAAGAGTCAAAATATTTTCAAAATTGTATGGTGTATAGGAAATGCTAATATATTCATTCAGTGAAATTTTCATGTATCTAAAGTTATTCGTTTTTGAATTACAACAAAATAAGGAAATAAACACCAAAAACCAAATTCAATTTTGTGAAAAATAGATTTTGCTTAAAAATTCCTGTTTTTCCTTAATTTTTCTTTTGTTTTTCTTGGGGCTTATGAAAATTACTGGGAATTTTAAATTTTGACCTCCTCAATGCACCAACGATATTCACTTTGCAATTGAACAAGATACTGATGTTGAAAATCGAAGCATTATTTTGACTACTTATCGTGTGCACAGACACAAAAAAAAAAAAAAAAATTAAATTAAAAAATAAACACACATCATTGTAAAATCAATACATTCATCGTTCCACTCTGAATCTAAAAAAATAATTTTATGCGAATGAGTCTTGTCAATGTTATATGTATTGTCAGAGACAGAAAACAAACCATAATAATAGTAACTTGATAACTAAATCTTTATCTATATCGGAGATAGCTTAAAAATTAGATTCAAAAGATATTATTGTAACTGTAAATTATGCAAGTATAAAATGTTGTGAGATAGAAAAAAAGATTATCTTTAGCTGAAATGGTTATTACTTATTTATATAGTTTTGATTGTTAAAATCTTAATATCTTGTTGGTAATCTTAATACTGGGTCATGGAATATTATGGAATTAATGTGTTGATATTCTTTTGTTCATTTTTATGTTTGTTATAAAAGAATACCTAACTATAATCTATACTGTATATTATACAATAAACAATATTGATTACATGCAAATATGTTATATCCTTAACTCATAAAAATTATTTTCCTACTGGTACTAAAATATTTATGATTTGATTCATTATATTTTAGTATAATAATTGATTTATTATTTTAGTGCTTCAAATGACTCTCAAGGGTATAAAGCTAGTCAAGATTATGGTCAGTATTTTGAAACCAACTATTGGCATCGTTACTCAATATGGAATCAACCCGAAATTCAGAATAATGTGCTTAAGCCAGAACCAGCTATTGAAACTGCCGTTATTAAAACAAATGGCAATTTAAATCTAGTTGGTATGTTATCAAATTTCATCAAAATATAACTAAATACATTTTAAACTTGAAAATAAGTTTTTAAAAATATAAAGATCATTTTTGTATATTTTTTTATAAATTAAAAATGTTGCAGATTACAAAAAATCAATTGACGTAGATGCATTAAACAAAGACCTTGTCACACAAGATTACAATTTATGGGATGCACTTGAAAGTTCTAAATGGCTACCAATCGACACTTTAGAAGTTATTTAATGATAATAAAATTTAACCAAGTTTTTTTACAAATTTCTTATTTCTTGTATAGTTGTATGTAATTATGCAACATAACAATATTTTTTTATAACTAAAATAATATATTTTTTAGAAGTATAACTTAATGTAACATAAAATAATATTGATAAATATAAATATTGTTCAAATCATTATAACTTAAGTTTGATAATATACTAATTGTATTATCTGAGTATTAATTATTATTTTCATGTATGTATGTATGTATGTTGATCTACCTTTAATAAGAAATTATGTGATAAACTATTGATTCATATTTAAATTAATTAACAAAAAATAATATTTACTCCATTTGTATACCATAGTTTAGTGCTTACCCACTAATTGGTTTTGATAAATCCATAATTCCTTATGTTGTAGCTAAACATTGTTTTATAGTTTAATGATTAAAGGTGATTTTAGTTTCAGTTTTAGTTATATAATTATTTTTTTATATATCTAGGTTAAAATATTAAACAACAATTCAACAAGTCCTGTATTATTTTAACTATTATTTTTTTTTTATCAAATTGTATAGTTATTGAATAAAACTAATAGCATTCATTATGAATACTATGTATAATCAATTCTAATAGTAATTAATACTTAAAATGTAAAATATCTTTAAGTATGTATTTTTCTTTTGGTTTATGAATTGTTATTCTTACACAAAATTGAATATGTATTTAAGTGTGTTTTTATTTTTCAAAATAAAAAATGGTAATGATAAATGTAGATTTCTATTTATAAATTTTTAAACTAACTATCTATATCAGTATACCCTGTTCAAAATAAGAAGCACATGGATTTACATAAAAAACCAGTTTTGCCCGTGGCCATCTATGTGCTTCTTATTTTAAAGAGGGTATGGTACTCCATTTTCCAAAAATAAGTAACTATGCAAAGATTATATCTTGACTTAGCAAGTAATCTATCCTAATTTAAACTCTAAAGTGATTAAACATTCTAACTTATGAATACATAAATAATAATACTTATACCAGTCTTACTTTTTTATTATTTGCTTAAAATATATTGTGTTGGTTATTATTATTGTAATTTATGCTTTTTTTTTAATGGTACGGCAATATAGTTCTATTGGATCACGTATCACACACGTGTGACATAGCAATAACAAAAATTTTGGTTCGCTAGTTTCAATATGGCGCTGTCAGTTTTTACTATCAAACTTTTAAGTAACAACATTGTCTGTGTTCTCTCGTTGGTTTTTTACGATATTTTAATTTTTAAGTTATGACATGAGTATGTAAAACATTAATATTTAAAAATGCTCATAATTCACTTAAAAATAAAAAATATCTTAAAAAACCCAACGAGAGAACACAGATAATGTTGTTACCTAAAAGTTGGATAATAGGTCAATTCACTCTAATATCAAAACTAACAGTACACTAATATATTACTATTGAAACAGGCAAAGGAACATTTGTTGTGTAATACGGAGACAACACATGCGGGTGCGACGTCCTCTTAATATAGACAATAAAGTAGATTAGTGATTGCAATGTATTAAAAATTGACTAAAAATGCAGTAGGTAAACTCTAAAAAGAATTAAACTGTTGCAAGATAGATAGCATTCTGCATTGCATATTTATATCAATAATCGTTTGTGTGATTGTGTCGGAGTCTGACAAGAAAAAAGAAACAGTATGACCGTCAAGAGATGTTCTTATGTGCATATGCACAATTAGGTGGATATTTTGAAGGGGCATTAGATGAGGAAGGAGCTAAGGCCCTAAAAAATGTGTCCCAAATTGGTCTTTAAACAAATTGAAAAAAATACCAAGTAAAAAGATAATATCAAAATAATAACTAATAATTTAGTTTAAAGTAATATTAATTTTTTTTCAGAAAAAATTCTTAGTTCTTATTACAGGACGTTATAATAGCTGAAAATAGTTAACTGAACCAGATTTTGAGATCAATGTCTTAATTCTAGGTGGTCAAAAATCCCATTTATTCACATATCTATATTACACACATAACTACCAGCTACCTTAATATTTATTAATTTATTGCCTATTGGTTACTGTAAATTGTTGCAATCACTATATTTTGTAGATGGTAAATCACTATATTTGATGTTAGGTGCTAATTAAATATAATTATGTAAACCTTCTATATCACGATAGCCCAAAAAAGAGAACTTTTCAATTTCAAATAAATGTTTAGATTTAGATTACAAAAATACTTCTTACATAATGAGAAAGCTATAATATAAATGGTAAGAAATGTCTAATCAGTCCTCGTTATTATTCATATAACTTGAAAGCGTAGGTACTCTGGGAACTCATGTTGGTAGTTTAGTTATAACTTATAACCCAACATGAAAAAAATTCTATTTGGTAGGCTTGTTCAAAGGCTTGTCGAGACGACGAGTGGATATTTGGAACGGTAAGAGTGCAGTCCGGCGGAAACGTTGGGGACAACATTGTGTGCCACAGATGGCGCTGTCCACAGAAGTACCATCGGTCAGCCAAATGGGCACCTCCAACTGACTGATTTCTGGGCAAGATAAACAGGAAATTGCCGTCAATATGAACGCGTAGATATTTCTGTCGTCTTTTCGACGTCCAGCGACGGTCACAACCGGGTCGCTATGGGACTGAACGTCATCGTCGAGCCTTACTCGGTATCCGACTTGCGCCATCCCGGGTAAGTCGCATACCACTTATAACCACACCCGAAACGGCCGTCCAGCATACTTACCTGGCGTGGAGGTCAACCGTGATCAATTGGGCGGTTCCTCCAGGGTGAGACTTGTCCATTGCACTATGGGATAGGTTGACCCCTGCGAGTATCCCTAATGTGGATACCTCGGGCGCAGAATTTTTGGTAGCTGGGACTGCGTACGCGCTGTCCCTTAAATGACATCAGTTTAATAAGTTACAATATGGTTTAAATTTTACCTTTAAATTTTGAACTCTCCGTGATCACTATGACCAAATACTATATGTTATAGTCATATATAGTATTTGCTATGACGGTACTGTATTGTACCAGTGTGTATTAAAAATAAAATATAGCTTCAATATTTTATAAATATAATATTATGTATGGCAGTCACATATTTTAGGTAACTAATAATAATACATTAGTACACAATTGTAAGTGTAATTCCTAAGTCTTAGTTTATGCAATATAATCCGTAAACGACAAGTAGATGCGTAGGGAACCGTAGTACATTTTTCCTACCCGGATTCCAGGCAGAATCTGTCCTGGAACTGCAGGCCTAACCTTAATCCGTAAAGCGGCCCATGCACAATAAACAATATTATTGGTTATATTGAAAATATAAAATTCGTTTTGATATTTATTATTCATATTATTGTGCTTTAATCGCTGATTGATTTTTGAACGCTTTTCCAAAATAATATAATATTATTAAATAACATTGTAATGTGTCTATATTATAGGCATCACATAGCCTATAGCCACAATGCTAATTACATAGGTACTTTGTAATCAATGATAATGTTAGAATACACGCACTTATGTCGAGTCGCATGAAACATTTCAATAAAATAAAGAATGTACTATTAAAATGTGAATGTTTAAGAGACTGTAAATTATTAGTTCACTGTTGATTCGATTCGTTAAATGTTTAGTTCATGGAGCTCAGCATTAGAGTAATAATCTATAGAGACTGGCACACGGACACGCATGCATGAATATTTTCTACCCTTCTTGCAACTCCAGTAAACACTAGATGTCGTTGTTAACAGTGAAATCAAATGATAATAAATGCTTAATGATTAAGAATTTTTAGGTATAATGTACACCGTCTATGAATATATTATATTCTTATATTAAGATCGTATTAAGACAAATATATTTTTATATACACCATGATAAGTACCTACTTAAGAGCCTGGAAACCTAGTACTTGATCAAACAATTTTAAATATAACTTTATAACCAACTTATAATTTGATATAGCCATATCATTACTAATAATAATCATCACTCTTAATGATAATTAATAATGTTTATCTTTGGGGTTCCTCCATCAAGCTTTTTATTATATACTAGTTATTATATATTACTCATTTATCACATATCCTTATTATAGCATTTTATTTATTATAACAGCAATGCTGTTTCCCTTGGCTTCTATTAAATACTCTCCAGGATCATAAATAATATTATGGTGCAACCTTTGTCGTTTGGGAGCAGGGGCGGACTGGGCCGGCGGGATACCGGGAACTTTCCCGGTGGGCCGCTACTCAAAAATAATTAGTTACCTATTATTATTTATTTATAACAAAATCAGTAGGTACCTATAAATATAAATTATAAATATTTTGTATTTTCATATCATAACTGTTGAGTGTGCAAAATGTTTATATTATATTTGGTGTTAAAGATTTTAGATTTCGGTTCAGCTGGTTGACCAGCCCCTCGGCATCAATGCATAAACAGAAATTATTATTTATAACTACTAGGGTGTGAATTTGAAGATAAATTGCATTTTTTCCTGTATTCTCTTAAACATTGCTTTCCAATTAAAAAATGTATTTCATACATAAAATAATTTAAAAATTAAATTTTTATTTAGCATTTTTTAACTTTACTGATTTATAGAACATTTTTTTGACGTTTTTATGACATTTTTATCGTTTGAAGGAATTTTTCGTAAATTTTATAAGTATATATACAATTTTATAAACACTATTAGCTTAAGTTCCTTCAAGAAATTTAATATAATTAAAAATCATTTTTTCTTACTAATATTTCTATTTTATTACGTTTTATTTTATTTTGTTTGCTCCTATGACTTCAGTTATACAAAACAACACTTGCCAATTCTAACTGTCAAAGTTTTTTATTCAAAAATATTGATAAGCTTCTGATTGAAAAGTGATTATAATGAATCACAATATATGACGACTAACGACTAATGACTATACCTATTTAAGTTCTATTTTATTTTCATTTAAATTGGCTTTTCATTTTTCTGGGCATTTTACTAAGCTTTGTAATATTGTTACTGTGCATAAAATCGTATTTTTAAGGCATTGTTTTTTTTATTGCATTTATATCCATGCCCTATTTATAACTTAATATGACTTTATTCTACAGTCGATTAATATATCCACTTCTAGCCAACCAGTATTTACTTAATATAACTAACATTAAATTGTACACAATAAAAAATATAATATAAATATATTGTACCTATATAATAGTAAAATATAAAAGATAATTTGTGATAATTTGATGGGAATTAATAAGCTGATAACTAAAGGTACAGTTTCGTACGTTCAATGTAACGTCCTTAATTCAAAAAAGTGAATTCTTGAACTTCTTTTTTATTTTATTGTAGTGTACTAGTGTATCGTTTGATGATTTTGTAATATTTACTTATCTAGGTATTTGTTGTTTAAAATGGAAACTAAAAGAAAGAGTGGGGTTGAGAAAATCAGAGAGAGAGAAAAGGATACTCTTAGAAAAATCAAGTTGAAGTAGTTTAAACGAACCTATTTTTTTCATCCGTTATGGATCACTTATAGAGTAGGTAATAGAAAAAGTGATATATACATAATACTGTGCAGTACATTTAATTAAGATAAAATACTAAATAGGTACATTGAGAATCTTAAGTTGTCTCCTGAGGAAATTAAAAATGAGTAGGTGGAGGATGCAACCATTATTTGTCAAAACTTTGGTACCATATTTAAGTCTTACATTTAGTGATGACGACATTTTAAGGGCCGGTCAAAATATAAATTTCCCTGGCCGAATAGTTGCCCCAGTCCGTCCCTGTTTGGGAGTATGTTATAATTTTAACCAAAAAATAAATAGTCTGCGCGTGACTTATATTATATTTTAATATAATAGAACGTTTGGGCGAGTGGTATGTGGTTTTATTTTATTATTTTTTTTTTAAACCACATAAAGCATCGTGGCCCTGCACGGCGTTGTCTATTATTATGTCGTTATGTGATCATTTTGAGGAAGTTTATTTAACTATTAGTTAGTTTATAGGTTTTGTAGGTAAAAACGAAAACCGTATTAGTAATATACGTTTTCTGAAAAATAACTTAGCGATGTTTTTACATAGAGTCTTTGTTGAGATACTATAATAATGTGTTCTATATAGCCATATAACTTGGTTGATATCTAATACTATCTAATATCCATCGTGAATTATTATATAACTATTAGTTATAACATGCTATCGTGGTTAAACGGATATATTTTATGATGTTTCAACAAGTTTTGATATAAATTAATTTTTAGTACCTACAAACAAGCACATTAATATTTTTTTATTGCCGTTTGGCGTTTTCGTATTTTACGGTATCTTCTATTTTAATTTCATATAAAATGTTGTAGATTTACGGATAAATTAAATTATTAAAATAGAATTGATAAACTAATATGCGAAAGCCGCAATATAAATATATTAATATTAATATTGTTAGTTAAATAGCCCCACACATAATAATGGTAATATAAATACAATATAATCATAATGCCAACTTAGGTGACGTAGGCCATAATAATTATATACGAGCATATTATATTATTATAATATTATTCCAACCTCCTATCAGACGATCTCTACTGCACTTAACGTTTATAACGTATGCACATTTTTTAAATGTCCATCAAAATCCACTAACCGCAGACTATAAATTTGAAATTTATAGAATATAGGTAAAATACAATTTGAAATTAAATATACTGTTTATTTATATGTATATAATTTTTATTGGCTCAATAAAATCTACAGTTATATTGTAATTTATTACATATTAATATTCTAATATTTTGTTGAATTGAATGCAATTTGTTTATGATTAATAAATTATTTATTAGTATAATGCAATGTATTTATATATAATATTAACATGTATATTAAAAGAGCTAATGTAGTAGGCATTTATTTTTAAACGTCAACACTTTTATAAAAATTTATTTTATTACTACAGTAAATTAAATAAAAACCGTTTAGTAATGTAAACAATTTATGTAACTTTTGTAAATATTATATATATACGATATATAAAATATATATTGTCCACTAATTAACTATAACTATTATTGAAAGAATAGGTAGTTGATACAAATTAATTAATGTTGAACGTTATAAATTATAATATAAGCTTATCGAAAGTTTCGATTTATTTTTACTTTAAGGTTCAAAAGACTCCTAATAAGTAATAGTGGGGCTTAAAAAAACCTAAAGAACATTGTTAATGCATGTTGAACATTTCAACTATATATATTTTCATGACAGAAATAAGAAAAATAATCGATGTAGGTACATAATAAATATAGATATTAGATACCATAAATTAATTTGACCAATTTATAGTAAATAAAAAAATGTGCATTAAGTCACGATGTTTCATCATTTTAATTCACTCAAATATAATACGATGCGCTAGACGAAAGACAGCGTGTAACGCCTTACGCAACAAAGCGGTGCACACCGGAAAGCCATCTGTTACGGAACTGACGTTGCATTGTACTATGGTAATTAAATAAGATCGGTATATATGAGGGACGGCGCGTACGCAGTCCCAGCTAACAAAAATTCTGCGCCCGAGGTATCCACATTAGGGATACTCGCAGGGGTCAACCGATTCCATGTGCAATGAACCGGCCTCGCCCTGGAGGAACCGCCTATGTGATCACGGT